CTTTTAAAAAACCAACTCTTTGTTTCTTTGATTGATGCTTTGAATTATTTTTATTCTTAATTTCATCTCTGATTTTAACTATTTTCTGTCTTCTATTGACTTTGGTGAACTGGAGACATATTCTAATACAATTCCTGGGTTTCAAAGAAAAGAAAATAATCCTTTGGGCATCAAGGTACAAAATGAATTAATTAATAGAGGGGGGAAACCCAACATGTTGTTATTAGGCTTCTCCATAACACTTTATGACAGAACAGGAAGTGAAATATTTAAGATATTCAGTGGGGGTAAAGTGAAATCCCATGACTTTATATTCAGTTTAACTCATCTTTTTTCCATATTTCTTATTGCTGCATTATAATTATACATCATGGTAGGATTTGCTGTTATATAGTCATTCCTGCACATGTTATAACAATATAATTTGTTAATGATGTTTCCCAGTATTTTCCCTTTCTCTCCCTACTTGTCTCCCATGGTCAACAGTTGTTTACTTTTAAGAAATGGAACTCATCATTTTAGTCCCTTCTGGATCTTAGAGTTTTGAGAAATCATAAGAAATTCTGATTGTTTTTCTTCTAAATGTGACCTGATTATTTTCTTTTGAGACTTTTAAAGTTTTAACTTTGTACCATATGCTAGGAATTTTGATTACTGTATATTGTGGAAAGGTTCTTTTTTTATTTTGTCTATTTGGGGTTCTGAATGCATCCTGTATCTAGAGGTCCAACTCATTCGCAAGGTTTGGGAAATTTTCTGCTATTATTTCCCTGAAGAGGTTATCCATACCATTAGCCTGTTTTTCACAAACCTCTTCAATTCCAGTTATTCTTAAATTTTATCTCTTAATGTCTCAGAGATCTTATATATTTTGATCATGGCTAATTATTTTATTTTCTTCAATACTGTCTGAATGTTCTAGGCTGGCCACTTTGTCTTCCAGGTCTGAGACTCTGTCTTCTGTGTGGTCTACTCTATTAGAGAGATTTTTCAGCTGAACATTTTATTCAATTAATTGGCTTTCCATTTCCATGATTTATGTTTGATTCTTTTTCAGTATCTCTATCTTCTTATTGAATTTCTCATTCATTTTCTATACTGACTTCTTTATTTAATTATTTTTTCTGTGTTCTCTTGGAATTTATTGATCACTTTGCTAGTCTTTTGAAAACTCTATTATTTCATCCACTTCAATATCTTTGGAGTCAGTTATTAGTGAATATGAACTTTAGGAAGTGTTATGTTGTGTTTTCTTCATGTTCTTTGTTTTCCTATGCTGGACTTTGTGCATCTGTTTGGATGGATCTCTCTTCCATTGTTATATGCATGCCTTTTTAGGGTATAGACCTCTCTTGTGAAAGAATTCTGGGATATCAGGCTATTGTGAAATTTTCTATATATTTCCAAGGGGTTTTCATAGTATAGTTTCCTTGCTAGGTTGGTTTTCGTTTTTGTTTTTTGGGGGTTTTTTGTGGTAACCAGTATATTTTCATACAGTTTGTATTGTGTCAGGGCTTGAGAATCCCACTTTTCCTGTAGGTCTCACAAGAGTGGGGTCTTTCTTGTAGATTCAGCAATAGTGTTATATAAACAGAGCATGTGGGATATAAACTCCATCATTGCTCTTCACTGAATAACTGTGCATATTCTAAAGGGGTATGGGAGTGAACTAAATTGAGACCCCCTCATAGGTGCGATGTTGACAGTGTTAATTCTGTTTTCACTGTTGGAGTAGATGTCCACAATTTTAACCTGTCTGCCCCCCAGCCCCTTCTAATTGGGACCTGGTCCACTCTGGTGAGTCTTTTGGCTCCAGGACGCAACTCTGGGGCTGTTGCAGCTACATTTTTAACTCTACCCAGTGTTCCACCATTGGCTTATCAGCAGCCTTGACACTTTATCACCACATCCTGCCTGAGATGTTTGGCTCCCTTGGCTCTCAGGGCACCCACATCCTTCCGGTTTCTACCTACTTCAGAAGGTGCTATTGTCCTTTGTCAGCTTCTTCTCATCTTCCCTGAGGAGGTTGGACAATCTTGTCCAGTCTCATGGCTTATGACAGAGTCACATTTTCAATCCTAACATACCAGAATCATAGATGTAACCTAGTGTCAAGTATTACTAATAATATCAAGATTGTAAGTAATTAAGAGGCACAGGAAAAATATGAAGAAGTCCAGGTCACCAAAGTGGTTCCTCAAATCCTTTTTTGGCATATTAAGATATGCTCTAAATAAGATTTATATTCAAGGGCTCTAAGAAATTCATGGAATAATCGCTAACATGTAATTTCTTAATTATATAAACTGTCTCATCACTCATCATTTAATGAAATGTCTTCATATCATCCCCTGATAACTGCATAATTCATGACACTTTCAAGAGAGACCTATTTCATAAATCCACAGATTCTAATTTATTTACCACATACAGTCTTGGAAATGCCACAGGAAGACCTCTTTCCTAGTAAATGCCATGGTTGGCAGGTTCATTAACGTGTACAAAGAAACTTGGCCAGGTCATCTCTCTTTCTTTCCTGGGACCAGAAAAGTTGAAAACGGAGGAAAGGACTGATAACTTCAAATTGTACCTACAGCCAACTTGACCTTTCTTCTAAACTCCAAACTCGTCCATTCAATGAGCTGGCCAACATTTTTACTTACCTAGGAAATAGAGGCTGGACTGAACATGAGCATGATGGAAATAATGATTAATGATTCTTTTCTCCACTCCCTGGAGACACTCAGTGTCTATGCACAAACAGTCATCCTTCCTTCCTCTTCCCTGTTTCCTTAGCCCCCTTCTTCGCAGAGAAAACATTATACTGAACTCCTCTTTCTCTCTCACACCAGACATCCAATCTATAGGAAAACTCTGCCATTTCTACCTTCAAAATATATCCAAAACTCAGTCACTACTCCCACCTCCACTGCCACCTCCCTGGGTCAAGCCACCATCGTCTCATGTGTGAGATGCTCATATGCCTCTGCTGCACCTCTGCTTCCTGTATCCTCTTTGCCCTCTGAAGTCCATTCTGAACAAAACAGTACTCAAGTCACGTGTCTCCCAAGCTCAGAGCTGTCCAGTGGCTCTGGTATCTTTCAGAATAACAGTGGAGTTCTTACAACAGCCATCAGGGACCGGACACCCTGGCTCCCACGAACGCTCTCCTTGTTATCCCTCTGTTATCTCCCCTTGTTCGCTGTGCCTCAGCCACGGGGCCTCCTAACCATGCACATCACAGCCCCAGGGCTTTCCTTCTTTGTCTGGTTCCTCTATGGAGCTCATTCCCCAGAGAGCATAGGGCTTGTGCTGTGCTCTCCTCCAGATGTTTGCTTCAATGTATCTTCTTTATAAGGCATTTCTCAGCCACCTCTTTAAAAGTGTGATCCCCATCTTCCCTTGAATCTCTGTTACTCTCCTTCACACATCACCATTGAAAATACTATAGGTATTTCTTCTCGGGTGTTTATTGCTATGGTTTGTAGGTGAGGACAGAGGTGTTTATCCTCTACATCCACAGTAATGTTTGGCACATAGTAGGCTGTCAATGCTGCCCAGATTCATTTGTAGCTGAGCAAATCAATTTGACTTGATCAGAGTTTGGAGAATAATGAGCTTGCCGAACGTAAAGAGAACATAGTTTAGAACTGCAATGAAGAAGACCTTGAAAACGATACCACGGAGGATGGTTTTACTCGGCAGCTAAAGAAACCAGTAAAGGGAACTGAACCGAGTATGTAGTTGAGAGAACTTTCTAGAGGCACAGGCTTTGGGGGGGCAGCCCAGGCCTCTGGCCCAAGGAGGACCTGCGGGAAGAGCATGAGGTCTGGTGCCCAGGAAGGACGTTGAGGGATAGAAATGACCCAGAGAGGAGAGATCCAGACAGGGAGGGACCCTGAAAGGCACAGGGGCACCCCGAGTGGTGGGGAGGGAAGCCCCACCCTGGCCCACTCCTCGTGGCCTGCAGAGCCTCACTGCCAGTCAGCATCCTTGGTCTGTCCCGAGTCACTGAGTCACTCCTCAGGGAGTTTCTGTGGGGAGGGACAGGTTCAGCCCCTTCTCAGGGCTCCCAAATAGGGGACCTCCAGAGTCTCAGGAAGGGAAAGGGAAAGAAAGAAGACAGGACTTTCCAGGCCCACACTGCAGGTCTCCTTCCAGCCAGGTGAGGTGAGAGGATCCTCCGGCCTGGGGGGCCTCCCGTGTGCTGGGGAAGGAGAGGTGTCGCAGACCCACTGCCCAGCCAGCCGCGGGAGAAGGAAAGGGACATCCCCAGACCACAGCAAACACCAGCACACACACAGGCACTGACCATTGGTGCTTTTCTGATTCATTGGTGTCCCTGTGGCCCCCCGGCCCCAACACCCCCTCCCATCCTCCCTTCCAGGCCTGGTGCTGCGGGAGGCTGCGGCTGAGCCTGGGGCTGCCCTGGGCTCCATGCTGTCCTGTTGAGGCTGCTGGGTGGGAGGGGGTTGGAAACCATGGTGGAGGTGTGAGTGCCAGGCTTGGTCCACTGAGATGGGATTGGGGTAAAGAAAACCTGCTTCACAAGTAAGAATAACAATGAAAGGCACACGGTGCTCCTTGACTTAGTCCTCTCGTTGAAGCTGAGCATCTCATGGCTATTACAGGGGTCACCAGCAGTTACAAGGTCAAAGAGAAGAAGCATGAAAATACATTGCTTTATAAGATTGATAATGATGTATCATAATCATTATAATATGCACATCGATTCTTTAAAATTTATATGAATAAGACTACTTAAATACAATTGGTGGATACCATCTCATTAAACACCAAACTGGAAAATTTACTGGAGGACTCCTTGCTCTCCCCCATCCCTCCCTGACCCCCACACATGTTTTTATTTTCTTGTTTTTTCTGGAATCATGTCAAGCAGGAAATCACAGGTTCGATCACCACCAACCTTGGGCTGAAACAGTGCCTCCTAGTCCACATGTGACCAGTTTGAAAGCTCATCTTGCCTTGTCCTCTTGCAGTACAACCGGTACCAGCAGTATGGTGCGGAAGAGTGCGTGCTGCAGATGGGGGGCGTGCTGTGCCCCCGCCCGGGCTGTGGAGCCGGGCTCCTGCCCGAAGCAGGCCAGAGGAAGGTCACCTGTGAAGCGGGCAACGGCCTGGGCTGCGGGGTGAGTACTGCCCGCACCCAGGGGGTGTTGGGTCTTGTGTTTGATGGCTTTTGCAAATGGTCTACCATTATATGTTTTATTTTCAATTTCTTGTTGGACTGAGATATTTTTGAACTGATATGTAGGAAAATTGGGTTTTAAATTCTCACATAGGACCCCACATAAGAAAATACATATTTTTATTTGGGGAGGAGTTGTACTGAGATTTTCTGTTTAAATTGCTTATCAAAATGTTTATTCTAAACCCTGTGTACCGCTGCGCCAGACTTTTCCACTTTTTCCCACCAGGGCTTGTATGATTCAGAGCAGAACTGTCCTCTCTCTCCAGCATTGCCTTGAAGTAGCTGGAGTGAAGGAGGGAAATTCCCCAGGAGGGCTGCCGTAGGACACTGTTCGCCTAAGTGTTTCAAGAAATAAGATGAAGATTAATGTGGAAAACCTGAAATGTTATTGTGACATAAAATTCACTTTAAATAGAGATGAACAAAGCTAATGATGCCTGTTAGGGAGGAAGAATGAGAAACGTGGAAAATGTTTGTTCCCAAAGGTCAAAGCATGTGACCTGGCTGGCTTTTTGAGTGAGTCTCTGTCTACAAGTTGGCAGTTGAGGGGTAGAGAAGCAAAACTCCAGCCATCAAAGATTCACTAGATTACAGGTTGAATGGCAAATGGGCAACAATCCTGATATTCAATTTCACGCAGGCTGGAAAAGGAAGGAAGCATATGTGCTTGGAAAATGCTGTTGAATTTTGATGGGAAACGTTTCTTTTAAAATTGCAGCTTCACGAGGAGCTTTGTGGAGGAAGGATGTAGGTAGCAGGTGTATATTACCCACACCTAATTTTTGGCAGAGTCCTGTTAAGTCACCTGCACATAATTCAGCATCTGTTGTTCTTAGGAAAGCTCCGTACCTTTTGTGCAATGGGACTCGTGAAACCCTGGGCAGAGAAATAGATGCAGCAAGTGGAAGTTGGAAAATAATGAGGGCCAATGATGCCTAAAGGGAAAGAGAGCCTCTGGGTTAAGGGTAGTGATTGCATCAGGATGAACTCAACTCACCTTTGCCACCCTGGGGAATATGGAAATCAAACCAGGTCTGTGGCTCTGTGGTCGTCAGCTTCGGTGTCATCTTCACAGATCTGTGTGGCCTAGGCAGGCTGCCAGATTCAGGGATCAGCATGTAGTGAAAGTTTTCTTTTAAAGAGTCACAGTTGTTTGTACAAAGGGCTAAATTGTATGCTTCTGCCTATGACCTGCCTACTGTAGTCCCACTGGGTTTTAAGATTTTAACTTTCCTGATGAGGTGGACAGTTTCTTCAGTCCATCTTCTGCCTGCACTTATTCAATTTTACTATGAAAAGTCTAAGAATTTTATGTAATTTACAGATTTGAAGACCTTATCTTCCTTTTTCTACATAATACATTGAAAACAACATGTATTTAAGCTTCAAATCATGAAGACTCCATTAGGAGTGAGTCGAATGGCTTCAGTGCCTTTGAATTAAGAAAGTTTATGGACAAACTTTACCTAAAGGAAGATGGCTCTGCTCAGGATGTTCCTCTGGGCTTTGGAAATTCTAGGTGGTGAGTCTATTTTGGTCTGTTTTGTTGTTTGAGGAGGTATCCTTGTTGATTTGTGTATTAGTTGATTAGTGCCACGTAACAAATGGCCCAAATTATAACAACCTAATATAATAAGCATTTATTACCTCACAGACTTCCTGAGGGTCAGGAATCACCTGTGGGGGGCTCTCATAGGGTGGCATTAAGGTGGCCACAGCTTTCTGCTGGCTTGATCAAGGCTGGAAGACCCACTGCCAGGATGAGTCATCATATGACTATTGGCAGAAAGACCTCAGTTCCTCATTGGCTGTGGTCAGAGGCCACAGTTTCATCAGGTGGCCTCATCACAATGGTGACAGTTAACTTCCCCTGGAGCAAGGGATACAAAAGAGGGTGCCATGGTGCCCTCCTCTCCAGAGTTGCACACCTTCCCTTTCACTTTATGCCACTCCCGGGGAGCAAGGTACCATGTCCAGCTCACCCTCAAAGGGCAGGAATTGGGCTCCGTCTCAGAGGGCCTGAAGAACTCACTAGCGTATTCTAAACCACCACCAGTTTGCAATCTGAAAACACTGAATTAAAAAATCAGCAAATGGTACGTTTGCTTCCTACCTTCGTCTCCCTCCAGCCTGCGCCGTCCAGGATTCTATCCATTCCCACAGCTGTGGCTTCTCAGCAGAGACAAACTGACCTCACCTCTGCCTTCGCCCTTCAAATCCCTACTTTCACAAAAGGATGTTAACCCAACTTAAAGCTAAAGAAATTCTGTAGCAACTAAACGGGAAGTGGAATTGATGCCTTAAATCCCGGCCCCAGCAAATACTGGTGGTCCTCATCTTTCTGCCACAGTTTCCTCATTTCTAAAATAGGCTTCACAGTGTTAACCCTGTATAGGATTATTGTGAATACTAAATGAGATAATAGGTATAAAATACATAGAACAGGGTCCAGCACAGAATAAGGACAGATACATTTAATAATTAATCAAAGATTGAATGAATATTTATTGCTTACGATAGTAAAATTGCTTAAAATTTTCCAAATAGTCTAGAATCAACCTCTGCACCAAGCCAGATTTTCAGCAGAGAATTACACACTTACATCTCTTTTAGCCATTCTAAGAATTACTTTTCCTAAATACTGCTTTGCAATGATGTTATTTGTTCATGTTAAGGTGGTTACATGGGAAATTTGATGTACCTGGTTCAAGACATCTCAATAAGCTTTGCTTGAGGAACAGTGGCGAGTTGTCCAAGTCTGAGCGGGACATCAGGGGCACTTGTGCCTGTCCTGAGGAGAGCTGTCCTTACGCACACTGCTAACTGAGCACCTGACGGTGTTTCCCTCTGGAAGCTGATGACTAGAAAACCCATATCTACATTTGTGTGCTGCCCGGTATGTCCGGAGCCAATGGATTTTGAAGTTACTCAATGGATTTTGAAGTTCATTTCCTAGCTTTCCTTTCTTTTATTTCTCTTTGCCTTTCCTAATAAAAATGGGCTGCCCCAGGAGCAGCCAGGGCCTTGTCCTCCGTGGCCTTCCAGGAAAAGTCATTGGCAGGGAAGCTGCAGCAGAACCCTGCGGTCTTGGGTGGAGGAAAGCCCTGGATAGCATTAATCCCAGTGCTTCTCGGGCACCGTTGGTAGGTTTATTGAAAAGTATCTTTGAATCCATCTGTACTTAGTTTTTTCTTCAACTGTCGACAGAAACTGAAAGTACAACTCTTATTATGTGGGTATGCAAGACACCTTTCATGTTACAAAAAGGTTCTCACATGTAAAAAGGTCAAAACCAAATTCCCTGACATTCATAACTTGAAAATGAAGTCTTGGGATGGGTTGTGATAGGCCCTCAGCCACGGTTTCAGAGCTAAGACAGCCCTGCTTTCGCTCCAGGCCCCCAGGGTTCTCACCTAGGCATTTAACTACCCCGTGGGCCTGCGTGCCCCTCGGTGCACTCGGGTCTGTTGATGTAGTTTCCATCCAAAGAAACAGATTCCAGGGTCTGGATTGGCTTTGGGCTTCTTTAGATGCTAGCTTTAGCCTCTAGGATGTTCTTGTTCAAATACGCAGTAATGTCGATTGCAAAAGGAGATTCCTGGCACCGTGCTCCGCGCTATCACCAGGCTCACGTGTTGCTGGGGAGCTGTGCACATTGCCTAGTACACAAAGACAGGGTGTCCATGCAAAGTGTACTCCAGTCCCACTGGAAAAGTCCTGATGTGTGTGCTGGCCACCACACACTTAGCACCACTATAAAGGATTATTTGAGAGAAAGTACCAACTCCTAGAATTCAAGTTGAAGTGTTAGCCTGTTTTGGTGGCTTCATATGCCTATCCTGACTCTAAATTCTTGTTCTCAGTAAGTTCATATAGTTGGGATTCAATATTCATTGAATGAATGAATGAATGAGCAAGTGAATCATAACAAGGTAGAAATAATAGAAATACATTATCACTTTTATTTTCCAGTATTAAACATCACTCACCCCAGGAGAGAATTGCATACTTTGCCTCAACAAAGATCTCTTCAGAAAAATAATCAAAGTATTTTCACATGCTTTTATGTAGTGTTTAGGACACATGGTACATAATTTAGAACACCAATGTGTTCAGAGATCCACGAACGTTTGGGAATCAGAAAGTACTACAAAAATTAGGAGTTCATAGCCTGCCAAATAAAGAGTTTTGCACTCTCTGACATAAATGTCTTGCTCTTGGAAGCACTAAGATTTTAATTTTGACTCAGCACAGAATATTTTTATGCTGATAGAATTCAACAAAGAATATTTTGGGGATCAAATAATCTGACCTCATTCTCTGCTAACCCTTGATCATATTTTTACTATTGCTCATAAAAACATTAATTGATTTCCAGAGGAATTCATTTACTCATTATCCTTTCTTCTGGCCTTATATCAGGACTGTTTCACTAACTTTTATGACTGCAGTGTGAGCTGTTGTCGTGTTCAATCCTGGAAAACAAGGAGAATCTGGGATACATCATACTCACGGACCTGGAATGCCTGTGCATTCTCTGTAAATAAAATATCCCTGTCTTATTTGCTGTTATCTTAGACTATTATATGTCTGGGAGATAAGTTTTTAAGTCATACTTGAAGTTGAAGGAACGGTATTCTATTTTAAATGACAAATCCAGGGACAAGATTAATAACAACAACAAAAACAGTGAAAACAGGAGAACTTTAGACATTGTAGTACTAAGGTCAGAAAATCACAGAGAATCTCTTTAGCCACCTAAAGTCACTCCTTCCTTTGACAAATGGCATCTCCTGCAGCTCAGAGACAAGTCTATCCAAGGCACTAGCCTCTGGCCCCTTACCACCCAGCCATTCTGAGTCCTCGTCACCAAATGGGTCTCCTTGCATTGCTTTCCTTAAAGAGGGTCCCAAAGAGTGCATAAGCTGAAGGCATGCA